CTTATGCTCCAGTCGATCATAGAGTAATCAACTGGAATGCTAGTCCACCTAGTCTCTCAGGTGGCTAGGTGGCTTTATGCTCCAGTCGATCACTCTATGGTTGACTGGAGCATAAGGCCACCTAGTCTCTCAGGTGGCAAGGTATCCTTATTCTCCAGTTGATCACTGAGTGATCAACTGAAGCACTAGTCCACCTAGCCACCTAAGGGACTAGGTGTCTGAACTTTGAAAGACAGACCACATAGCCTGTTAGGGGGCTGGGTGGACTAGTGCTTCAGTCAATCACTCAGTGATCAACTGGAGCATAAGGACCGACCCGCCTTTCAGTGCGCAGGGTCTGTCAAGCCTGCACAGACAGCCTTTGTGCAGCCTCAACTTGATATTTACCTTGATTATCAATCTCTGCATAGTGCCGAAGTAAATTGATTGAAAAAGGCAAGGGTCTACTGGTTAATCTGTGATATCTATCTTTCAACTCTCTAAATCTTGCTCGAACCTATTCAGAGACCTTCAAGGTTATTCTTGTGGTGGAATCCTTGCTTCCTCAAAGTAAGTCGGATTTTCACCCAACCCCTATTTTCATTTGTCTTATGATTTCATTTGATTAGTTAGATTTATCATCATTCTTCTCAATGTATGGTTTTGAATTTAGACTTTTAAATTACGGCTTTGAATTATGGCTATACAGATTTCACCTTTGAGATTATGGCTTTGAATTATAGCTTTAAGTTTTACCTTTAAATTATATCATGAAATTTTGGGTTTGAAATATAGCTTTAAATTTCAAAGCTGGGATTTCAGCTTTGAAACTATCACCTGAAATTGTGGCTTTGGATTATGGCCACTTAAATTACGGCTTTGAAACTTTTCATTTAAAATCATTGTTTTGAAATTTCTAACTATCTAAATCAATTATATAAGTCTTTTCTTTTCAGCTCTATTTGAGTCTTCAATTGATAACTGTCAGTCTTCAACCTTCAAGCCATTCCACCTATCTTATTTCATTTTAATTCTCTTCTAAAATAATCTTAAATATACTTTAATTCAAACTTCTTCTAATCTTCTTCTCTAATATTTGCTCAGAATCTTTTCTAATAATATAATAAATAATGAATAATTAACTCCATGAAAAAATAAGATAAAACTAAAAGTTTAATAAGTCAGTAATATGAGAAAAAGAAGAAAACTAATCTTTGAGTTAATGAATAATAAATAAGTAATATTTCAAAAATCTTGAAATTTTTTTGATTGCTCTAATAAACTACTCACTATACTGGATACATATTATCTCCTTGATTTTAGATTCCAAAAAGTTATTTTAATTGTTATTCCACTTCAAAAGTATTACAAAGTTTCACCATACCTGAAGTCCCCTTGAAAATACCTCTACCAGCAAGTCTACTGATTGATGAGTAATGAGGGAAGAAAACACCTTGATTCAATATATATAATCATGTAGGATGGAAACCAGGGTTCAAATGCAACTGAATACACTTTTTATAATTCAAAATATGTTTGTGTATATATATATACATTAATAATTAAAAATCATAAAAAAGGCAGTTTTTTGGCGGTTGGAGTTTATTTGTTTTTTGTATTAGCGATTAGTCTTACATTCTCTTTTTTCTTATATTCCTGTTTTTTATAACAAGTATAGGTTGTATCAAGTTAGTTGCCTCTGGCCTCCCCATAAGGGCTTTGTTGTTACTGGGATGGTTATCAAGATAACAACCATCTCTATTTCAGTAGTTCTGAGTAATTTCTTTCCCTGTTTTGCGTGTGGCGCTTCACTACTCATACCTTTGGCTTGAAAAAGTAAAAGTCCAGCGCCACCTTTCTCAAGTACTAATTTCCCAGTGGCAATGCTCTTATAATATAAACAATTCAAATCATATTCAAATTTCAATTGCAAGTCAAGAGTGATTAATATACTCAATTAGTTCCAAATGATATTCAAATTCCACTGGTAAATTAAGAGTGAATACCATCATTTTTTTTTTGAAAATGTACTTATTATTAAGACACTCTCTTTGTTAAAAATCACAACTTGATTATCATTTTCTCTAAGGATTACCAAATCGTTAAATCTAATCAACTTCTCACCACCAATTTGATTATCATTCTCCTTACGCATTACCAAATTGTCAAATCTAATCAACTTCTCAAAGATCATGTCTGAATCTAGCTCTTCTCTCGAAATTCCAGATTTTGATAATCTTACAGCTGTTTTGAATAAAACTGGCTCTTGTTCTTTTTGAATTTTGTTCTTTTCATATCCGCGGTTTTTCATCTTGCAGGAAAGGTCAAATTCCAGAGGACTGAACACAGATCTTGATGCCAACTTTTTAGCAGGCTTGACCTCGTCTACTCCCAATCCAGATAAATAACCCAATCAAGTAAAATAGATTAACCACGGATATGAAAAGAAAAAAAATCAAAAACAACAACAGCCAGTTTTATTCTCAAAACAGCTGTACTCCCAAATCAGCTTGGCAATGGTTTTAGTATTTTATTGGTTGGCATATTCCAGCTAGATTAACCGCGGATATGAAAAGAAAAAAAAATCAAAAACAACAACAGCCAGTTTTATTTTCAATACAGCGGTACTCCCAAATCAGCTTGGCAATGGTTTTAGTATTTTATTGGTTGGCATATTCCAGCATTATCTGAAGTATCAAAACAAACACATCCATGGCTGTCAATGATTTAATTGAATTCTAATCTCTATCTTCAATAAAAAAGTCTTATTATTCATCTTATTGGTATCAAAACCGATTAATAATTCTCCTCAAATTCGAATTCAATGTCACATCTTTGTTATAATGTCAGTCCGAATTGATCATGATGATATTTTAAAAAGAGAAGAGCGCGTTGAACTTCCAAATGAAAACTCAAATAAAGATAAAGGTCTGTCATCTATCATTCTCTATACTATTTAAGATCATTGGAAAGATTTTTATTTGCTAACTTTTTTCACTTTCCATTTTTACCTCAATGATTTGTTTTTTAGACAACCATGAAATTTTCAAAGCTAATGAGGGTAAGCTAATCATTTTCAAGGATATATAAAGCACAATGAGAAATAGACTACTATGGAATTTAATATGATCTTAAAAACCACTTCCTTATAGAACAATGGGAAATACACATCAAAATCTTGCAAATTCAGATTCATAACCTCAAAATGTGGAACCGTATAAATCAAGATCTCATGAAAAAAATCTTTATAGAGGTGGATTCCTACACTCTTCTTACAAATTATTATAGATTTGTGCCTTTTGGGGATCATATCCATGAATTAGTAGAAAATGATCCAGATGTTAAACTCTAAAAAACAATTTTGCAACCACAAGTATGGGTTAAGAATGTTAACAATATACGTAAATATGTCTTTCTTCTGCTGTCCTTTTTGGCCCATGATACTTTATTTTATACTAATCTTACTTCCAATTGAAACTCAGCTATTCTAAGTATTGTAGATCCGCTCTACTTCTTATCAGTATCTATAAGGGATGGTATGCACATGGGAAGATTTGAAACAATGAAAATGAGATGGACAAATTTCACTTAGAGTGTTTCTGAAACTGGCAAGTTGCATGGCCATCAATTATCAATTGCCAATCTCATTATGGAGAGTTTAATGCTCAATTCTGAAGATTCACCATCAGTTGAGTTAAATCAAGATGAATATTATATATTATAAGGCTCTTTACAAATTTTATCATAACGTTAAGGCATTACGTGATCAATATCTATATTGGTTTACTGATTGGGAATCAACATATGAGGGGATAAATCTAGGTATTGCTTTATCATTTCTGTGTTTTGGAGTCCCAGGCCTTATAATTCAACATCCTAGTCGTAAGGCTCCAAATGGAGAGGTTTCTATGATCATTTTCCAATTACTAATCCTAAGTTTTGGAAATTGCTTGAAAAATCCTCATTTCAAATACTGGAATTTAACAAGATATATAATTATCAATATTATGACAAGAACAGATGAGATTACTGATACAGAGATGATACCTTACTGTAAGGAAGGAGTAGTACAGTGGCGGATGGGTTTAGTCCAAGTACATGAATTATGCGGTATGGGTTTAGACAAGTTATCTCTAGTAGTTAGTTTAGATTCTCCTCCCTCACGTGTTGTTTCCTTTTCTCCTCCGTGGTTCTATTGTCTAGTCATCTTTCTTCTATTGTTTCTGCTTTTGCTGGTTTTCTGATTCTCAAGTGTTGGATTAGTACAATTGAATAAGGGGTTTTAGATAAAACCCAGCTCTCCGTGAGCCAAGCCTTCCCTGATAGAATCAGTGAAGGTGGAGATTACACTCCACCTTACACTTTTTTATCTCCCCTTTACCTTGGATCACTCTTGATACATCGGTCATCAATCTCATAAACCTTTTCTTTCTCAATCAAACCTTTCTTGTCAAAATACTGATCTTCAATTACAACAGTCCACTTGCCCTAACTCAATTACAGGTGTTTTAAGTTTCTGATTTGTTCAATTGTCCCACTCTCAGAGTGGATTGCGCCACACATGTTACCTGTTATCCAGCTTATCTACCAGATTTGATTCAATAGGGTGGTATTTGCGTCATTTAGGAAACAGATATGAGGTCAAAGCAGTTGTAGAGGAGGAAGAAGAACAATCAAAATTGAAAAAGAGGAGGGAAGATTTGGTAGCAGCTGTGATGAATAATTTATCAAAAGTAGATGAAGCTCAAGACTTATCAATACGTGAAATGAAAATGTTGAAAGAGTTTGAAGATCTCTGTCCAGAAGATTCGCCTGATGTGGAGAGTGCTGGAGCAGTAGATGAGGAGTCCGACTTTTTCCCTGAAAAAATGCAGGATGTGTCTTCAAACACGCATCACCACATTATCCTGATGTACCCAGATGTTGTTATCAATGAGAGGAGTTTTGGGTACCTTTGTAAACATTTAGATGCATGGCGTATCTTGATAGAGAAACACGTGGAGGCAGTTCGTTTACGTAAATCCAAAAGCCAATATGTGTCCCCTTTGATGATCATTCCGAAGAAGGATCCTACGGCATTGCCGTGTCTTATCTGTGATTATCAAAGACTCAATAAAGTTACAGTCAAAGATCATGGTCCACTACCTGTGGTAGATGAAGCAGTCAGGATAGTGGCTCAAGGAAGGAGTTACTCTTCCTTAGACCAAATCAACGCTTTTTTTCAGACAATCATATATGAGAAAGACATCCCTTTGACGGCTATAAAAACACCTTGGGGATTGTTTGAGTGGGTTGTTATGCCCATGGAAATTAACCAATGCGCCGGCAACTCAACAGCAGAGGTGTAAAAAAGCTCTAGGTGATTTAGTTAACCAAGTGTGTGGTTTACATTGATGACATTGCAGTTTTTTCAAACACAGTAGAGGAGCATGAAAGACATCTGTGGGAAGTTCTGAAGAGATTGAGGGATGCAAAGTTGTATCGTGGTTTGAAGAAAAGTCAATTATTTAGACGAATACGGAATGCGAGACGTTCCAAAGTGACAATGCGAAATTTCAAAAAACGAAAATCACAATCCCCGGGTGCGAAATTCAAAAATCAAAGACAAAACTACAGAAAATACTCAAATACAGGGATAAAACCCCTGTACCGGAGTAAAAGTCATGGCAAAAACCCCTTTTTGCCCAATTTTCCAGTGGTCGACACCGTTTTCATTGCATTGTCACCTTTTGACAAAAAGTACCAGCAACACCAAAAACCAAAAAATCAAAAAAAACATTTCTCAAACTTTACAATTCAAACACCAAAGTTAGATTCTACTGCAGTCAAAAACCACATGTTGGCCAACTAGCTACAAGCTCGGTCTCACAGGTATCAACACCTCCGACCAGAGACATTCTACCATCAGTCTCAAGAGCTTCAAAGTACCTGCTTACTGTCTCGCTCTCCTCCAAAACCTCTTTCATCATCATCAATCCTCTTTGATTGTCCTTGATCTTCTTATTTCTTTGTCATCCATCCTCGATCTTCCTCAATCTTCGTCATCCGTCCTCAGTCTTCTTATTTCTTTGTCAACCGTCCTTGATCCTCCTCAATCTTTGTCACCCGTCCTCGACCTTCTTCTTTCTTTGTCAACCGTCCTTGATCTTCCTCAATCTTCGTCACCCGTCCTCATTCTTCTTCTTTCTCCGTCAACCGTCCTCAGTCTTCCTTATTTCTTCGTCAACCGTCCTCGACCTTCTTCTTTCTTCGTCAACCATCCTTGATCTTCCTCAATCTTCGTCAACCATCCTCGATCTTCCTCAATCTTCGTCAACCATCCTCGATCTTCTTCTTTCTTCGTCACCCGTCCTCGATCTTCTCCTTTCTTTGTCAACCGTCCTCATTCTTCTTCAATCTTTGACAACCGTCCTCAATCTTCTTCAATCTTCGTCAACCGTCCTCAACCTTCTTCTTTCTTCGTCGACTGTCCTTGATCTTCCTCAATCTTCGTCAACTGTCCTCAATCTTCTTAGACCATCCTCGATCTTCTTTGATTATCCTGAATATTCTTCGACCGTCCTCAATCTTCTGCAATCCTCATCCAAACACCTTCAATCTCCATCACCAACTACACACCAACATGCCAGCGAAAATATCTGATGAAATCTTGTGACCGCTTTTGGAAGAAGCTGTGGCTAACAAATGGCCAGCACAAACAGTATGCGACACTGTTTGGCAACGGCACAACATCCGAGTATGTGTAAGAACTGTTAGAAGACGGATCAAAGAATGGGACTTGAAACAACAAGGAAATTATGATGTGGAGGTTGTAAAGGATGCAGTATTAGATAATTACAAACAATCTCTGAACCAAAAGCGAGCTCTCATTGCCCTCAAAAACGAACACAACATCATCATCAGCCGGTCAACTTTAGCTCGAGTTGAGAAGCAACTCAATCTTCACCGCCAAAAGGATGATCTTGACATGGGTGTAGTAACATATGCCACCGTATGTAGCAAGATTGAAGAACTGCAGATTGAATATGGAAATGTACTTGGAATCAAGAGTATCAAGAAGATGCTATCTCAGGAACACGAGCTTCACATCCACCGGCAAGTGTTTGGGCCTTCTTGATTCCATTTGCTCTGATGCTAATTACATTTGAAATCCTCTTTGATATAGTGATGTTATTGCGGCTATGATGAAGGCAATGGACCCAGATGCTGTCAGAATGAGAGCTGCTCATAAACTCAAGCGACGGGAATACTATGCGGGCGGTCCCAATGAGGTTTGGGCGGCCGATGGACACGACAAGTTGATCAACTTTGGAATCGGTATATATGGATTCATTGATTGCTGGTCTCGAAAGATTTTGGGACTTCATGCTCATGTCACCAACAGTGACCCCCGCCATGTTGACTTGTGGTATCTGGGCCTTGTCAAGAAACAAGGTGGCATTCCCAAAAAGCTCACCACGGATCGAGGAACTGAGACTGTTCCTCTTGCTGGACATCAACTTTATTTTGGAGAAACTTACGGTTCCAGAGCTCCAGACTGGCCTTATCATCAATATGTGCCGTCCCCTCGTAACCAAAAGATTGAGTGCTTCTGGGACAAAATGACTTGTGGACTGACTGGAAATATCAAAGCTAAAATTCAAGAGCGCATTGATCAAGATTTATATAATGACAATGATCCAATGTCTAGGTGAAGCTCCTTTTTTTTAATTGGTGATTCCATGCTGAAATCTTTGTTATTGCTTTTCAGGACCTTGTTTCTCCACCTATTTATCCCCGTCTTTCAACGAGCTCTGGACAAATGGGTCAAGTTTTACAATGGTTTCTGCAGACGACACGACAAGCGGTCGAAATTACCTACTGGATGTTCTGCAGACTACTGCTACAAAAACCCCATTGACGAATTTGGTTGCATTGATTACCTCATACCTGTCCCAGGTGAAGCGGTGGATGCTATCCTTGCTGATGATTACCCGGAGCAAGAACACTTGTGGAGCACAACCCCTGAGTGGTTTTCCCCGGTGGTTGATCAAGTCATGGAAGAGGTTGGAATTGTGAGCGGGGATTTGGACATTGGAAATTTTTGGGGTTCTTTTGATGTTGTATTAGCAAGATTGAAAGATTTGTCTTGGAGTAACACTCCCTTTGCCCGTGTTGAAGGTGATGATTCTATGGTTTTGGAAAACTGAGTACTTTATTTTGCTATTACCTGCATCTCTGTGTGTGGTAAACTTTGTAGTGGTCAATGGTATTGATTGTTGTGAGCAAAGTAATCACACTACGAGATACAATACTCTAAAAGAAATCACACTACAAGATACAATACTCTTGTTTTTGGAAGAAGAAAAAAAA